GCAAGGTTCCCAGCAGGGGGCCCCCCCCACCCCCCCCCACCCCCACCCCCTAACGCTACAGATGAGAGAATTTCCCCGCGGGAACAGGGCAGTGTCTAGGGGAGGAACACTTCGTGAAAGGCGAGAAAGACTCCGGCCAGCATCCCAGGAGCTGTGGGTGTCTGCCAGCCTGGGTGGAGCAGTGGCCAGTGGGAGGACACACGGACCCGCAGTAAGGTCTCCAGGGGCAGCTCAGGAAGGGCCTCGCATGTGAAGTCCCCTTCGGGAATTTGTTCTGTAGAGATGGGAGGCTGCCAAAGAGTTTAAAGAAAAAGCGACGCGCTCTAGCGAGTTCTGCAGAAATGGCTGGCGCGGGGAGAGGGCGGCGGGGAAGTAGCTGGGGTTACCGGGCAGTTCTGGTGCCGAGCTTCGCCGCCTTTGAGGGGGGCACGGGTAGGACGTGGGTAAAAGGCTCGGGCCAGGCCAGGAAGGTGTTCAGGATGACTGCCCACCTCCTGTCCCCTAGGCCTGGGAGCCACGGTACAGAGGATCGCAATGCGCAGGAAAGGAGTTCACCTAGGGGCAGAGCTCTGGAACCACCCGCAAACCCAAGGGAGGTGGAATCTGAGAAAGAGCAGCCGGACGATGGGCTGAAAGGAGTCAGAATCATAGAAACGAAGCCCAGGGGAGGGGAGATCTTATTTCCAGGAGGAGGTGTTAATGGGGTCCCGCGGAGCAGGGAAGCAATCAATGGGAAGCAATCAATCACATATTTAGCGACTGCTCTGTCGGAGGCATCTGCCTAGGTGGGAGGAGGCGGCCTGTGGGGCTGCAGAGGGGCCGGAGGGGCCGGGAAGGGCGAGGACCCCCCTCTCCCTGGAGGAGACGCAGGACGCACGCTCTGGGAGCCCTGGAGTGTAAACCCGGTGACGCTCGCGCTTGGAGAAGGCCGAGACCTGGCAGCTGGGCTCTGGGGAAGGCATTTAGCCGGCTGGCATTTGCAATGAACGCGGAATGTCTTCTGGAGTTATAATTGTGGTTGATTTCTCTGAGTAAGCGTGATTATAATGGTAGGTAGGAATTATGAGTTAACTATAGTAAAGAGAGTGACGTTGACAGTGAAAAAACTATTGCCTAGGGCGCTCGTTGGAAACACACGCTATTCGAAGGCCGCAGAGGGTGGGGGCTGTAGGGCCTGCAGACTCGCCCCAGCCCCGGCCCCTGCCCGTGTCCCTGTTCCAACCCCAGCCACTGCCCGTGCCCCTGTTCCAAGTCCAGTCCCTGCCTGTGCCCCCGTTCCAAGCCCGGCCCCTGCCCGTGCCCCTGTTCCAAGCCCAGCCCCTGCCTGTGCCTCTGTTCCAGCCTTAGCCCCAGCTCCTGCAGATGCCCATGCCTGTGCCCCTGTTGCAGCCCCTGTCCCTGTTCCTGCCCCTGTCCCTGCCACTGTCCCAGTTGCAGCCCCTGTCGCTGTTCCAGTCCCAGCCCCGAGCGCCGGCCCTCCAGGGGGCGTGACAAGGAGACGCCCCGCCCCGAGCGCAGCCACGTGACCTGTCATTCGCTGGGAGGGAGGAAAATGGCCGCCGGGTGTGGCGAGGGCAGCCCGCTGAAAGCCGCGGTGTCCCGGTTTCGCGTCCTCTAACGCGGCGGGGAGCAGGCTCTTTCGGCCGAACTGAGGGCGCCGTCCTCGGGCCGGGCTGAGAACGGTGAGTGTGGGGGCCGGCGGCGGGG